ATGGAGTGTTTCGGTGGACAGGGATACATTGAAGACACAGGAATACCGACTGTTCTGCGAGACGCTCAGGTATCAGTAATCCCTCTGTATCCTGGGAATTCCCGATTGTCTGTAATTTTGAGCTGATCTTAGGTGACACCTATCTGGGAAGGAACGACAAATGTACTATCACTTGACGTTCTTCGGGTATTTGCCGGAAACCAGAATGTGTACCCTGTGTTTGAAAAGCGTATTAAATCTCTACTACCTAATAATGGTTTGTCAAAGGTTTACTACGAATGTATCATTTACGTCAGTTTTGATCATAACTTTTAGTATCGTCTCCTCTGGATGTTGCTACAGCGGCCGTTAGAAAGGCAATGACAGATCTGGGATCGCTCATGAGGAAAGCTGCCACGAATGATCAGCCAGTTCAGTTGGATCCATGTGCTCGACAGATTGCCTTCGGAATTGCTCGAATCTATGCTGGTACCGAATTTTGTTCTAATTTCTTCTCCTACAGTACTTAAAAGACTCATTTTGCGGTAATCTGGTAACTGGAAGGCTTTTTCCATTATTAGGTCCACAACCATGTATAGTTGTCACTTCGTCACTCGCTAGTGCGTGATGAGAGCGTAAGTGTTCAATCAGGGAGTCCGCTAGCTTACCATGGAACTTTGAATGGAGACCTGGGTAGATCGATAGAGTCTATAAGGTTTTTACAAATATAGATAGCAAAACTGCAACCTGCATTTCACAAGCAACTTATGAGCAGGTAAAGTTTGTAATGGTGCAGTAGGGTGGAGGCTTGGTGGTGAGCTGTGAAGCATAAGCGAGGAATCGCATACGTCGAATCGAGTCGTGGTGGTTCAGTGGTAAGGTTCGACGTCGTTCGACGACTCGATTCGACGATGCGATTCGAACCTCTTTCGAGCGATGCGATTTCTCGCTTATGCTGCAAGGCCTTACACAAAGGCGCTCCCATTCATTACTGTATACATTTACAAAATTATCTATCATCATCTCATATCTGGCTCATAAGCTTGCTTTAAAAACGCAGGCTGGACATTTTTTGCTATTTATATTTGTAAATAACCTTAGAAACTCTATCGATCTACCCAGATCTCCATTCAAAGTTCCATGGTAAGTTGGTGGACTTTCCCGCAAGACCTAGTCCCACCCACGCCTTCTTCAGCCAAGCTCCACCCATAATATATGCGTTATCGATTACCATTGTTTGCGTGGCTGTCGCCCGCAGTTGTACTGTCTATCGTGTCGAAGTCCGCCAGTGTTCTCATGCGTCTCGCGTTCACGCGTACTTACCTTTTGCTCGGCGATTAAGCCATTCTTGGTATCCTTCGGGAACTTCTAATAAACTGCCCTGCTTTCTTTCTTGGTGCCAATCTAATTAGCACGAAAATTACATATTGGGACCCCATTTTCTACAATCTTATCTTTCAGTATGCAGTCTTGTTCGCTGCGGATTATGGGATTTGTCATGGTGACTGGCTTTGGCGCGGCGTTAAACCCAACCTCCCTCCTGACACGCCCCAGCATTCATAACGAACAAGATTGTAGCAGAGATCAGTTCTAGAATTTTAGTTTTTTCTGTTCAGGAGCACTTTTGATTCGCCATGCAAGCGACTCGGATGCTACGAAGAGCGATGCAGATGTTGCTGCAAGGTTTCTAGTTTTCCTCATCTACTTATGATCTAATTGTTACAAAGTGGGAATGCCACACTACACTTCATTTACACACAATTTTTTTTGCCTGAAAGTGCTGGATTATTGGGGGAAGAGAGGAGGGGGGGGGTGAACCTTGTTAGACGGCCTGTCTTTTCTCTAGACAGCTTTGTTACAAATGGCAAGTAGGTAGCCCCTTTACGTGTGTTTTTCCTCAATCTATGTGGTGAATTCCTTCACTCTTTTTCACCCCACAAAAAGTTGCTTATGAATCATTTCCGGCATTAGTCGCCTTCCAATTTTCAGTTTTTCGTTCAGATGGTGTTTGGAGCAGCCATTAGTGGATATGAACACGGACTGGCTGAGCAATGATCGGATTCAGCTGGATCGTTCCATCGTATTCGAAAATTTCCCTGAAGACGCCAGAAACAGCAAGTTATAACAGAAACTGCCTTTCAGTGCCTAGTCTTTAAGATACTGTGACAATATTTGCTACCTCTGTTTACTCTTACAAAACTCGCCATACCACCTTATCATAGCGTGTAAATATATGATTGCATAAATATTAGACCATTTTCAAATGTTTATTGAAAACAGTTCAACCATAACTTTTTTAAGTTCATTCTGTTATGGTTGAGCAGAAAGGTAGCAATCTTAACACGATATTGTTCATTCAGATGTAAAATTCCCGGGATTACATGTCGTTTGTTGGGCTGAGGAAACCCCTTAGAAGCTCTTAATGTTCACCCGCAGCTGCTTGCTCTTCATTTCGACTCAGATCAAATCCCAGTTCAATTGTCCTACAGAACGGCGTAGCAATGGACTTTTCTCAAAGGCTGGGAAATTCCTGCAAAAGAGTAGCTTACGTTGAACGGTGATTTGAAATTCGCAGTAAAGATAAGCTCGGATAGATTGGAAGAGTTACCGGTAAACAGAATGTTCAGCGAGTTTGCACAGACTGAGAGGCGCGGTTTGGCTTGGGAAATAGTTAACCCTGAAATAGTTCTTGCCATTAGAAGGTTGGTTTACTACCGTTGAACTCCTTTGCTCAGCATACCTAACCCGACAAACCACCCTGAACAATTCGCTTCAGTCTTGACTTGTTCTGTTGCCCTTTTTTTGCATGGCCAGAGGGTCAAAATATCTGACTCGCTTCTGCTCGGGCCGGTTAAAGCCTTCCGGAATCGGCGGACTGACACCAGACTCGTCTTGGAAGACAAGAACCCTGACTTACGTATCTCATCGGCGGCATCGTTATACTTTTTACCTTTTCAAAGAAGGCATGAAAGTCTGACTGGAGTGAGGTGACTATCCTTTTTGGGATGCGCCAACGCCATACCACTTCCACTCAAACATTGTTGGGCGGTATAGTTCTCTGATGTGGCTTACACAATCACGTTGCGTTGGGCCAACTATCTATCAAGTCGATGTTTTCTTCTCCGGTTCATCTGGTACCAATGTTCCGCGGGTAGAAGGCTTGGTTGACATGAAACATCTAACCCCCGCTCAAGACGATTTATGAGTGAGAATCAAATAGTCACTTTAACGAAGATCCGAGCTTCAGCGGTGACGACACCACCTGTTCGATCACAGTCGATAGCCAGTGGATAACTGATGAACGTACTTTCCACAGAGTATGGTTTTGGCTGAAATTGTTGATTGTCATGAATTGCGTTGGTGCATTTCCAGTGCGAATAGTGGTGGTGCTGAGTGACTTCTACGATGCGACACTTGGTGATATGCCGTCCCAAATGGGAGAGTCATAGCTTATTACTACCTCTTTGTTTGGAGTAAGTTATAGTAGATAGCGTCGCAATCAGGCGGGCTGGAGTGAGGAGAGGCGGATTGAACTCCGCTTTCCGACTACCTTGCTCTACCAACGGTTCGGTTGGCGATCGATTTGGAAAAAAAAAACAACCAGTGGCGTTCGTGTCGGCATGTTGTAGCTTCATAGGGCCCTTATAAGGGCACTTTCCCTGGGAAAGGCGCGCTGCAGCGCCTGCTCAGGGTCGCGGAATTCCGTCCTGCTAGGCGTATTAATCCCAACTCGTCTTGAGGGATTTGTCGTGCCAACTGCCTTTGAAGGACAGGGGGGGGGGGTGGCCGTGGCAGGACAAAGCACGACATGTCATAGTTATGCCGTCGCGAGATATTCTTCCAGCTACCACCTTCTCCCTTAAACTCTTTTAGACCCACTTTAATAGGAACTCTTCTGAACTTCAACGACTTCATATCAAGACCGTACATATTGAACGCTGGTGGAGGAGCTGTCACGGGAATCATAGACGGCCTGTAATATCAGTGTGTCCTGTGTGCAACATTATGATAAGGGCACATCATACATTGAATATCCCAAAAGGAAGGTGTCTAGAGGAAGAGGGGGGGGGCAGGCTCCGGCTTGTGAGAAGTTTTTTGATAGTCGAAGCACACTGTACTAACACTATAATAGTAGGTGGCGTCACATATTGATTAGGAGTTGTCCCACCCTTCCCTCGACGGCAAAACTTTTAGGAAAGTTTGGCAATATGGTGGAAAAAATGGTCGTGAGAGATGGTGAAATTTTGGGCAGGGATCGTGCTTAGAAAATTTTTCCAACGCCAGGAATCCTGATCCCTGATTTCGCACTCGATTTCATCACCCTCACCCGTAAAGCCACCGTAAAAGCCTCATGTAGAGATACAACGAAACACCATGATCCACTCGTCGAATCCACAGTACGAATCGCAGCATCAGTGTGATCACTTTGCTAAAAAGAATGAAATCGCTGCCAAATTTTTTGCTTCATCGAAATGAATTTTGGAACTCAAAATTACATGATGTAGAGCAACGCGCTCAGATAGATCCTCCATTTCCACGAATTCAGCTGCGCGAAATCGGAACTGATGATCGTCATCCAAATGTTGTCGTCGCGATGACAAACTTGACGAAGATGTCGAATGCAAAGTAACGAGAATATCTGAATAGAAGGGTCCCATAAACAGTTGCTGAGCCATATCGAGACTCTTTGGGAAACAGGATCATACTGACACTGTAATTTCACGCATCCCGATGATGCACACTCCTTATCCCTGAGACGGAGTAGCGTGCGTTTGAACATGGCCCTAGAAGGGTACTGCTGGATGTTTCACTTTGAGACAAACTGTCATCTTGTTCAGTGTTGACCAGGACTTGATTACAACTGCCTCAAAATGATAATATCTCATGTTATGCTTTGCCGCCGCCACGCTCAGCTGAAGTACGCAGCCACGCCTACCTCATCTCAGGGATTCCGAGTGTATCCTGTATGCACTAGCTCAGCTACGTCTTCAAGGACTGTTTTCTCGGAGATTTGAACCTCCTGGTGAGGAGGCAGGGAGGAATGAAAGCCTCCTTGGCTTAGCAGTATTTCTTGAACAGTAATGAACTTACAACACAGAGCTGTTGTCGAGTGGTATCAGCTTGCATATCACACGGCTTCCATTTGCATTAAACGTTGCCCGTCCCACTACTGTCGTCTCGAACAACTCGTAGTCAGTGCTGGAATGCAATTTTCGTAGTGATGACCAACAGTGGTGACCATATGCCTGAACGCCTGAACGCTTGCAGCCTTTTTCTCCACTCTGAAACAACTGAACAAACAGTTGATTGACTCTGACCTTATTCTGTAGCCAAGATATGGCTGAGGTATACTTCATTAGGATGAAGGGCACGAGGTCCGAAATTGCGGCCTTGCGCAGAAGGGAGATCGAAGAGATCACGCGACGTTGTAATTATTAATCTTAGCACCGAAGTAAATTACATATGTTGCTAATTTATCCCTGGCTCAACGCCGCTTTCGCCGCGCCGCCGCGACTCTACACGATTATACACAGCGCGGAAGTGAAGTATCCGCGAGCCCGTGAGAAGGATAAAGTAGGCATCGATCAGGAGAAGAGGATAACCCGCAAGGGTCTTTTGATTGTGCCAGACAAGCAGAGAATTCGAAAACAGAAGAACCCAAAAAGGGATTTGACACCTATGGAGCAGGAAAGAACCATAGAATTAGAGCCAAGTCTCAGTCTCATGGGAGTTATGTAATCCTTGTCGCGGATCCTTCGATTCTTAGTTTCAGCACTCAAATCACTTGAACGTGGCCTTTTACAGGAAAAATTTAGCATTTACATGGTGTAAATTCTCATCCAAGCTGCGTAGAACTCAGTATCAGAAGTTGGAAGAATCTACTTTTCAGACCTCTTCAGCAGAAACGTCAGTCCATTCCTTTCAGCCAGAATTCCTGGAGCGAAAATATGCAAGTCAGGATCGTGCTTCATCAGGAACTGTTCAAATTGTCTAATCTAAAATAGCAAAAATGATTAATTGCAGGTCCGATCTTCCGAATCAGAAGCGAGCGAACCATAGGAGTGATATCCTTGTTGGGGAGCACTGAGGCTTTGAGCGGATCTGCGGCTATCAAGTGTCCCACCACTTGACGATTTTCTCCCTCCGGTCCAGTGTATCCAGTAGCCAACACAAGTCCTTCGTCAATAAGGCCGGTACCTGCCCAACCCGATCTTTTAGAAGAAATTCGGCTACTTGTACTTAAGGCGCCCACCGATGCTGAGACTTGAGTTGAGAGCAGGCAGCGTCATCGTCCTCTTCACCGTTAGCACTGCATTTCCGGTGGCATCGTTCATCACAAGTACGTACTGTGCAAGGTGGTAGTTCTCCGGGTTGTAAGTGATTAAGACAGCTGAAATTCGAATGCGTTGCACACTGACACTGCTAGATAAGGCTGCGTTCAGTCCTCCGGTCAAAGCGCTACCGTTGCAATCACGCTCCGATGCTATCCAAATCCATCTTTTCTATGCTGTTTCTCTTTATTGTTTGGACCCTTTTTTACAGGTTTCTATTTCGAATTTTAGAGAGTTCCAACCTCAAAGAGAGAGTCGCTTTGCTATAGAACTTCTTCTTCTCCTCATTTTCATTTTTTTTCAATCTGATGAGTGATCGGGGGGATCCAACCTTCGTTGAGTGCTTCTGCTAGCTTTTTCATTGTTTGCTGAGCTTCTTTCTGCTACGAAAGCTTAACTTCCCGAAAGAAAAGAATGAGATAAGAAAAGAGGTAAAGAAAAGTTGTAATTGGGTAGCATCAGACTTCAACGGTTGCGCGACGGCGGTAGCTGTGAAAACGCAAGTGATGAAGCGATGGACTTATGACGATATCTCCAGTCGTGAAAGGAAAGCAGCAAAGGACGTTGATGTCTACCAAATATTTGTCGCCTTAGTAAGTAGAAGTCGTCGCTTCTCGTAATTCGTTGGCTTGATGATGTCGTTGTCTATCACATAGTTAAAGCTTCTATAAAACATCGCTTTAAGACTAAATATTGGGCAAAGGTCCATTATAGGCACAAGTGCTGATTGCAGTGCATCTCGTGTGCGTGTATTACAATTCGCCGTTGGAATTTTTTGTTGAATGTAAGGCTATCACGGATTTTCTCTCGAGCAGACATTTTTGCCCAGAACAGGACCTCTCCGGAGCAAACGTCCAAATCTGAGGAGGAATGCTAAGAGAGCAGGTGCAGCTGTCATTGCAGAACTAGGACTACATTGATGAAAAAAAAGGCTGCCCTGCAGCACTTCAATCCACGCCTCCCCTCCCCACGTCACATGCTCTATTCCTTCACAGGAATCATGACTGTACATCTCTGCCGCTCTTCTGTCTGGACAATTTTTAATATATTTGAGCGACTTGTGACTGAGTTACAATCCCTGCAAACGACAGGGCGTGAGACGGCGAAGGAGCAGGAAGCGTGCTGCCAAGGCGGCTTCTCCATCATTGATGCCATCCTGAGTCCGCAACAAGTGGCTGAGGGGGGGGGATTTTCCAGCAGCGAGCCAACTCGCGACCCCGTCACACGTCCTACCGTTCGAAGGGATCCCGACTGTATATACAAAGGAGGAAACTCCGTACGGGGTATGGAGTCCCTGCTTGACGTACCCGTAATCGCTCAACCCCTTCTGTCCTCTGACATGCGAGTATCTATTATATGAATGTATCTCAAACTAGAACGCGGAAACTGATGCCTATTTTTATAGACATGGGTCAGAAGGGCCGACGGGATGGATTTCACACGAAGGGAGTCACCAATAATCCGACACTCAATGAATAAACTCCATCAACTCTCTGATTCGTTCTTTTTACATACTGTTGTGACAGTTCAATGAGTGCAGTACTGTTGTTTGTAGCGCCCTCTTGAGTATCCCCCTTTGTCAGGACCTGTCCACATTCCGAACGAACAGCCCAAGTACAGCCTTTTT